TTTTCCCCCAGCGCAGCCGAAAAAAAATTCTGAGCTAGCGCCCGGCTGCCCTGCATCAAGTAAGAAATGCCTAATTCATACAACCACGTCCCGTTATCCGGCTCAACTTCCGCCGCCCGCGTGAAGTCAATGATGCTTTCAGTAATTTTGTTCATCTTGCGCAACACGTTTCCACGGGCCCCATACGTCGCTGCAAGTCGACGACGGTCAAAGCCATGGTCCTCCAACTGTATTACCAGCGAAAAGTCCGAAACGGCGTGGTCGTAGCGAGACAGCCGTGCCGCCAACTGGGCGCGAAAAAGCAGCGCATTGACAAAAAATGGGTTGTACGTAACTGCCAGCGTCAAGTGCTGCATCGCCTCCACGGCCTGCTCATGCGTGTCAACCTTCAGTGAGCGGGCCTTCTCAAGCTGTTCACGGGCGAGGCGCTCCCGCAATTCACGTGCCGATGCAGTCATCCCCAGCAAGGGTCAATCCACCCACGCACGCCTAAAGAAACAGGAGAGAAAGAGAGGGAGAAAAAAAGAAAGCGCACGCAAAATGACAAGATGTGAATACACCCCCTTAAAGTCAAATAAAACGCTGAGCGACTGCGCCTCTCTCTCTTCCCTCAGGCTTTTGACCCAAAAAATAAAATAAAATAAAATAAAATAAGAAAAGAAAAAATCTTCAGATAGAGATTACAAAAGCACACCAATAACAATATCCATTAGGAAGGGGGAAGAAACAGAATATATATACATATATATATATATATATATATTGACGGCAACATGCATAAATCCAAATTAAGCAATGTAAACAATGTGTTTTAAGCTCCCGATCTTCTTACAATATAATGCATGGATGGCAGAATGCTCATGCAGGGCGTACACAGTGGCGGTATTTGAAAGTAGAAAACGGTCTGAATAGAAAATAAAGAAAAACAACGGGAGCCAAACAAACGGGGTCTCATGATGCAATCGCTATTTCATTCCGCTCCACCTCACCAATCCCTTTCTTTATCTCCCCTATCAAAGTGGCGCAACTCTGCGCGGCGAACGCCAAGAACTGACTTCTCAGGCGCTGTCAATGGAGAAAATCGCTCCATGCACTGCGCCGCTCGCAGGAATTCCTGCTTTACAAGTTGAAACTTTGCAGGATGGAGATGACGACCCAAGTTGAGCCCCCCGGTCCCCACATCCTCATATGGATCCTCGATGCAGAAGTTATAACTAAAAGTACCCTTTTTGTTCTGTGGAAAAATCCACCCAATATCCGAGCGCTGGCTACGACGATTACGACTGAGGCTGACAACTTCCTTCTCATAGTCAAAATGATGGGCGTAAAAAATAAAGAAGCCGTGCAATAAACGCCCCAATTCCGTCGGATCGCATTCAGGCAGAGGAGAGTAATCGGGATATCGCGGGAGATGCGCCGGATGCGGGAGTGACCATGGGTCGACCCAGCGTAATTGCTGCGTGACAAGTAAATAATAAAGAAACATGATGGTAACAGCGTAAGATGTAAGCATCGCGGCAGATCCTGCACCCACATTTGTGGCTTTACCCCATGCTTTCACAGCCATCGCCGCGTGTCGCGTGGCACTAGGACCGTTGTGCAAATAGTAACGAATTAGATAACTGTTTTTCACACCATATCCCACAAAAGAAATATCCCAGCGATACATAAAAATCTCCGGTACATAACGTGGATCAAGCACGTCACGTGTATAGTCCTCACGCATGCCTCGAGTCATAATTTTACCATCTGGAAAAAATCCAATTGCCTCAATCATCTGCTCCTTTGAGGAGCACTGAATGGCAATACGACAGCCGTACGTTGTGCGGTCTACCCAAATGCCCTCTACGTTTTCTCGTCCCATTTTATCCGCAATGTACTCCACCTCACGTTCATCAATGCATTGATTTCGCACATCCAAAAGCGCCGTACGGGCCTTGCGATCTTCCTCCTCACTCAATGGTGTGTACCGCGCACGGGCAACCTTCTCGTCGTTGGCAAACCGAAGCTTCACCACAGGTGTGCGGGCCTCTGTTAGACCAAGAAGATTGTTTCGCAGATAGTGTGGGACATAACGTTTTATAACAGTCCATAGTTTGTCTGTTCGCTTTGCTTGAACCTCATGAGAAGGATAAGGATCATCGAACATGCAAGCAAGATCCAGATCACTTCCCCATTCCATCTGTCCGTATGTAACCATAGAGCCACAGCAATACACCTTTGCGTCAGGAGTCCACTTATCAGCAAGGCCCTGCAGTTGCTGCTGTGCACGAATAGCGGTACGGAACATATGCTCCGGGCCCACGCGTCTATAATTCTCTGTTAATATGGCTTTACCCCATGCCACGTAATGGTCAGGGGCCGGGTTCAGTTTCGTTGTTGATGGCAGAGTTACCTGACGCTGCACCCGCGACAGTCGCATGTAAAATCCACGTGTAATGCGCATTGAAAAGCTTGTGTGTGTGTGTGTGTGTGTTACGTTTTTATTGCCTTTTTCACCCTTTTTTTTTCCGTTCTCACAGATGTGAGTACACTCACACGTTCCTTCCTTTTTTTTTCTTTTTTTTTGTTGCGTTAAAGACAGCACGAGAAACCCTTGAAAAATGAAGGAAACGCACCAACAGAGACAAAAAGCCATGCAAAAAAAAAAGAAACCGTTCGAAATCAAACAACCAAAGGATAAGGGTGAATTTTTCCCTGTTGGATCGCACGCACACATCTGCGACGCCAACGTGCGTCACTGAAAGAGTTCCCAGAAAACCGCGTCAATAGCGTATAACTCGAAAAGAAAAAAAAAGAAAAAAAGACACTTCGGCCACAATTAACGCCAATGGGGAGATCACAACCGCTCGAGCTGCGGCCACACTCAAAGAAAACGAGGGCTACTCCGACCGCCGTGTTGCTGACGCTGCCTTGCCGCTTGCGATGGCAGGCCTAACTTCCGTCTTCTTGCCAAACGGTCCATGTATAAAATCTCGGCTCTGTCATCTTCCCAGAGGCCTCGTTTGGCCTCACGCGCCTCATTCATGATGGCGCGCAGTTTTTGGTTGGGAGCGAAGCCGCCTTCCATTGCCCACGCCCACCCCTGACGCACCATTTCTTCCTGCACATTTGTCAAACTCCTCGGATCCGAGCCGTTGCCAGGGATGAAAACATCTGCGATAAGACCCCCGACATCATCCACTCCCGTCACACGACAAAGCACATCCGGTGCGGGACGATTGAGCAGCAGTTGACTCAAATGAAGGCGGGAGCGTCGACCGTGTGGCTGATCAAGTTCTGGGGCCTCCAAAAGCCGAAGACGCAGTCGTACAGGTTTTCCATCCTCAGTTGTGGCATAAAAACTGCTACCATCCAGAACAAACTTGGGCTTCACAAAAAGTGTTCGCCCAATCAAACTCCGCTCTTCTTGCTGCAGCCATGAGATAAGCACCGCCGCAAGCAAAACAAGGGAAGTCATCATATATGACCACTTACTTATTTGGTATCCATAGTTTCTACGGGGTGCGGGAGATGCCATGGCGTCAGCTAGTTCCCCAGGGTTCATTTGCTGTTGTTCCTGCACGACACCACCAACAGGCTAAGAAGTGAAAACAGAGAGAAAAAACAATAAAGTTATCCCATACGCATTCCTTTTCAAGGCAAAAGAATATAAACGTGAGGAATAAATACATATGCGTATAAGCATGTAAATAGAACGTATTGTTGTTTTACTCACCATCGCACAACTCCTTACAGATACAATGGATGCGCCGGTGTGGAGCATCACGACCACATCGCCACGTGAGGCTCACACGGTCCCCGCGCCACACGGGGGGAATTCGATCACTAAGAATATCCACCCGCTTCCCAGCAATGCCATGCGTCCACGAATAACGTGATTCCCCTGTCATGAGCAGCAGACTTCTTGGCGCCGCAAAAACACCAAAGGTTTCTGCCACGTCTGGTGGTACGCCGTGTCGACTATACTCCAAAACTGTATGGGATCCAAGAGAAACAATATAGATGCAGTCCATAAACGATGCATGGGAATCGACGTGATGGGCAATACCTGAGGCAGCTGTATTCCCGTCGTTATAATTGTAAAAGTTCACTGTCAGTTGGTCACAAGAAAAGGTCTGAGCCACAGAAGGATAATCCTGCAGTTTTTGCCTTGGATCCTCGTTCTTCAGACGTCGCTGCATCCAGTCATAAAAGGCTGGCTTCGCATTAACGGAATCCCCTTCCATTCCAATTCGATTCACACCATAGTAAAACCGTCGGTTGAAGTGCGCAACATTGCGGTGGGCGAGAGTCTCCAACTCCAGTGCCGAAGCCTTTGGTCCTTTCAACTCCGACCAGATGGCGTCATGCTCCATCTGCGTAATAAATTCCTTTACAATATATAGTCCCGGCACTTCCTCGATCGGTTCGCAGAAAAGTACGCGCACGCCAGCATCATCCTCATCTTCTGGTGGTGATCCATGAAACACGCGTTCATCCACTCCTAGTGTTGGCGGCTGAAAAAAACGGCGAAGTGCATCCAATACAGCCCCAGCCCTGCAACAAAGTAGATACAGAAGTGAAAGTCCACCACGGGGTGATGATCCGTTGGCCCATAAATTCGGCACACGAATCACGCACACAACCCCAAGGGCATTTTCAACCATCATCTCCATTCCAAAGGCCTTTGTTACAAGTGGCATCAATGACATTTCAGGCATCGTTGAATGAACCAAGGCAAACGGGAGAAGAGAACTAAAGTAAATATTTAATATATCCTCTGGCAGCTGTGTGTATGCAAGAAGGGCCTGACGCAGCGCAAAGGGACTAACACCTGCCTGTACTCCCGCATTTAATGCAATCAAATCCAACGGCTCGGAGCCATCAGGCCTAACGGTATAGGCATCGAGAGGAGACAAGTGTTTCGCCAATCGAGTCATCCATGCACGGCAGCGTGAGCGTGCCCTGCCAATTTCTTTGTGGGACAACAAGCCCACATCTGCCGTCATTAGAAACGACTAAGACTTGACTCGATTCTTTTGCCAGCACCCAACATGCACAGAGACACACGCCAGGAGCCCCTCCTCACCCCAACTTCCAGCACCTCACTACGCCAAGCAAACGAAACACGCACAAAAAACAAAATATAAGTAAAAACAATAAACAAGTGCAAACACAAGAAAAGTAGCCCACATATATACACATACATGCATACATTTATTAAACTTCGATTTCATTTCCGTTGCCCAGAAAAGAAACACACACACAAACACACACAAAAAAAGAAAAAACAAGTCGCCCTCCGCATTGCCATCCGCAAAAAAAAAAAAAAAACAAGAAAAAAAAAAGAAGAACACCACAGAAAAAACAATGATAATAACGAAGCAACTAGTACGAGTCACAGCGCTAGAAAGCCAAATGTTCTTCATCACAATCGATGCCACCAAAACGCACACATCATCATAAAAAAAAAAAAAATATAAGAAGAAACACATAAAGACAATACAAGAATGATACCCGTGAATGGGCGGCATTCTGCATCGTCTCTTTCCTTCAGTTATCGTTGGCATTTGGTACAAAGACATATCTCGCAGTATGAGCAGTACCACACACGCCGATGAGTTGCCATGTCCTCGTGACGCAAGACATTCTCGCCACATCTATGACAGAGTACAAGGGCCTCCCACTGAGTCCTGGGGATGCGGCGGTAAATCTCGTTGAGATGCCCAGCAAGACGCCCAACACGTTTGCATTGCGGACAAGGAATAGGCTTCTGTTGCGCATACAATGCCTCTCCATAGTAATTGTGCGACACACCCGACTTGAAGATGTGGTCTTCGCCCATGCTTCGTCCAGAAACGGCCACAGTCACTGCCGCTAATACAATGAAGGACCACCCATTAAATATAAGTCATAAAAAAAGTAAATAAAAATAAAAAAGTAAATAAAAAATAAAAGTAAGGCCGAGTTCCAATAAATAAAATCATGTTCACTTATCCCAATAACCGTATATAATATACATATATATATATATATATATTCTCTTTACCATTAAATAATTTCCAACTTTCTTAGACCCCTTCTGACAGAAAAAATGAGGCGAAATTATCATCTGCTTAAATTACTCGCTGCCTCCCCCCTCGCTTTCCCAATCGGCTGCCGCTCCCTCCTTTTCGGGACCGCCGTGCACCCACGCACGGGAACGCTCCCTTTGTTTTTGGTGGTACTCACGGCGTTTGCTTCTCGCCGCTTCTTCTGTTGGGGCGACATAAATCCAACCGTCGTCGTCGTCATCATCGTCATCACCATCAGCATCAGCATCCATTTTCAGGTTCTCTTTGTTGCCAGCATCCCTGTTATCCAAAGTCTTCATCAAAACGGAGGATTCTCCGCTCCCTCCACCATTCGTATCCTCACAAGATCGCTTTATCTTCAGTGGTCGTCCTCCCTCGGCTGCCAAGTCTTCTGCCAGTCCTTGCCTCTTTCGCTTGTGTGTTTTGTTCATTTTATCATCATTCTCGTTGGAAGTTAAATGGCCCCCTCCCTTTGGGGAAACAACGCTGGCACAAGCGGGTGACTTTACAACTTCAATGCTCCAATTGTGCACCCGCAGAGATCGCAGGAACATCGTCATTTCCGAAAAGGGCGGGTGCGGCTCCACAGCGACCGGATGGTAATCTTTCAGGGCCAAAAGATGGCAGTCCTCCTCCTCTTCCCAGCAGGGACGCGTGACTCGGCGTGCAGCATCGCGTGCGGCAAGCAACGTGCCGATGGCAGGCGTACGGTTAAGATCGAGATCAACGACATCGGCTGCAACGGAAGAACGAGCAAACGTCGCAGCCGCCTCAGTGACTTCGCCACGCCACTCGTGTGCAATCGGACGGAAACGCACCGAGCGGCTGCCACGCACAACCGTGTCATACCGGCGATACGTCGAAAGAAACAAATACAAATACGGCCCTGGAGCTAGCGGGCACACAACACGCCGATCGGGTGATAAGGCCTCCGCGAAAAGCGTCTCTCTGGCACCTCGTAACACGGCAATGAGTGTCCCAACAATTTTTCTTATCATATTGAAAAGAAACGAGTTGCCTTCAATTTGGAAAACCAAAAAAGGCAACGGAGCGTCACTCGGAAAGTCATCCACCGAGGAACGTTCCGCCGTTGCGGCTGCCTCCAACAGAGAAGATAGCAATACAGAGGAGGATGCAAGAGAAGAATCTTTCCCCAGTATCTGGAGCGCGGCTTGAAACTCCGCCCGAGTTAACCCGGTGGTGTTCCGCGGCAGCAAGAAAACACGCGGGGCAATCTCGCAGCGGTACACGGATCGCACGGCCTCATTGCTGCTCGGTACGATGATCTTGCGGTTCCACCCGCTTACGCCGCGCTGCGGCAAATCAACGGAAAAGCTATGAAAACGGTGCGTCCCCACCACATAACGGAGGAGAAAGTCATTCGCACGCGTTACAGCAGTCAAAAGTGCTGCCAGTAACGGATCCGATTCAGCAGGGGATAAATCCAAAAAAGAACGCGCCTCTGCACAACAGCGGCGCAGTAATTCAGCTGCCTGTGGGAATTTTTCATAAAAACCCTTCCAGTAGTCGCACGGTGCCACAAAAGCATACGCCGGTATTAAGTAATGATACACACGCCGATTACAAGAGAAGCGGGGAATAAAATTGCCCATTAAAGGCGTTACCCGCGCTATTCGTATCGTCAAGGGCAATGTTGTGTTTAACATTTCTTTTATTTTCTCGCACCCACCCAACGCCTCAATCCGCTCTGTAAAAACAAAAAGACAAATAAGGTTCCGTACTGCATGCACGGCCCGATCTGTACGACATGAACGCGCAAAATGATGCATATCGCCCTTCACACGACCCCGCTCAATCGCCTCGATGAGCCCAACATCCTTCATTGCCTGAATCAACACCCCTTCAACGGTGTGATGCGTCGGTGCGTGGGTCTGCAGCTGCAATCCGCGGTAACCCGTCCCGCAGTACATGACACAAAGTCCCAAGAGTGTGTGATCTTTTGGGGCCTTTCGCAAACATATCCGACGACCCTCAAAACATTTGCGCCGTGGCATTCAAAATTCCTTCTTTTTTGTTTGTCCTCCCTCTCCCTCTCCCTCTCTCCCGTTACCTTAACTTCCTGCGGCGGGTAAAAAAACAAAACAAAAAAAAAAACAAGCGATACCGTAAAGATGCCTCAAGCCTGCACATCACACATCTACACACACACACACACATGTTTATACAGAAAGAAAACAAGACACAGACAGTAGTGGAAAAACATATATATTCCACGTACCCAAAGAGCAATATTTATAATTTCCTTCATTTACTCCTAAATCGATGCTCTTTCCACTTGTTTCAATATGGCACCAATAACGTTCTTCACCGCTGTCACTGTTTCATTTCCCTCACCATTTTCCGCTGTTAGAAAGCACTGACCCTTGTCCTCGGCCAAAGAAAGCATGGGGTCAATGGGAATGGCACCGAGAAACTCCACCTCATAAAGCTCAGCAAGTTTCCTTCCACCACCGCGGGAAAATATGTCGGTACAATGGGCACAGTGGGGGCAGACAAAACCCGACATGTTTTCCACAACACCAAGGCAACGAATCCCCATCTTGTGGCAAAATGACAATTCCTTCTTCACGTCATCCGTTGCGACATCCTGGGGCGTTGTGACAATCACGGCGCCAGTGGGATTAAACGGCTGGAGTATTTCACAGAGCGTGAGATGTTCGTCACTTGTGCCCGGCGGAGTGTCAATGATAAGATAGTCTAGCGTGCCCCACTGCACATCTGTCACAAATTGTCGTATCATGGCATCCTTCTTTGGGCCCCGCCAGACAACAGCATCCTTGTCACTTGGCAGGAGAAATGCAATAGACATGATTTTGAGATTTCCCGCACCGGGAGTTGAATCATCCTCTACAAGAGAAACGGGATGCCAGCCCTTTTCGTCACGATAAACATCACGGCCCACTACGCCACAAATCGTTGGTACGCTCGGCCCACAGATGTCAACATCCAACAAACCCACATGTTTCCCATGCACATGCGTCAGGGCAAGCGCAAGTTGGCAGGCCACTGTTGACTTTCCGACGCCACCCTTGCCACTCAATACAAGGAGAATATGCTTTACATTCGCCAATGAAGGAATCATCTTCTTGAAGCCTCCCTCTTCTATTTTCCTTCTGTTTTTTTCTTTTTTATTATTTCTTGTGAATGATATGTGTGGTAAACTGTTGTCGTATTTGCATAGAGTACCCACAACAAAACCCCCTTCATATATATATACCCTGTATTCAATGAGAATAGAGTCTCGACAAGGAAAAATAGTATATATATATATAACAATGCAGCCCACAAGGAGGGGACTCATTCGTTCAGAGCCAAAAAAACCGCATTTCTATCTCATTAAATATATATATATATATATATTTTATGGGAGAAGAAAGAATTTAAAAAAAAAAAAAAAGAGAAGAAGGAAAAAAACGGAAACGGGGTGTCGTGAGAGACAATCGTTTTACAATACGCATGCGCCCGTGAAGACGTAGACGCCTCTGCGTGAGCAAATCCATGCATCCATGTGTTGACGTTGCGCTTTTCCTTCTTCTTCTCGGGTGGTTGTTTTTCTCCCCCCGCTCCCTTCCACCCTCGTCTCCATTTTGCGTGCCGTCCTCCAATTCTCGACGCACTCAAGACACACGTGGGCCCCCTTCTCTCGAAGAGGATGCATGCTCGTCTTTATCCCCGTCTTCAGCAACCTCTTGCAGCGCGTTCCAAATCTCCCGCACCTGCTCAACAAGCGTAGAAGGATTGGTTAGATCCACCACATAATAAGCCACCTCTTCTCCATCTTTAGCGAGACGACTGCGCTCACGCTCTGCCCGACCCCGCGTGTACCCCAATACATCGCCCACACCTCGCATTCCGCATGTGTACATTGCCACGTAAACCACAAAAGACACTCCAATGACAGCATACAGCGTGCCCCATATCAGCGCACGCCAGGCCAGTAAAATGTGTTCGGGCGATGGCGACGGCACAACATCCCCCTCCTCAACGCTACCGTAACGCATCTCCTCCATGATTTCTTCCACCGTGTCGCTGTTTGGCCACAGTGGCGGTTCCTCCTGCCGCCTCACCGGGCCCGCGTTCACCGCTGCCGGCCGGACGTATTTTGCCTCCAGCTCATGGGCGGATGGCAACTGTTCCTGCAACTCTTTACTCGATGGAATCATCGCCATAACCTCCCGAGCCGACGGGACGTTCGACTCATTCACTTCGTGTGGCTGCAGTTTGAACGCAGTTGCACTGCGGTAAGACTTGCAGTGGTCATGTTGATCATGACGATAAGAAACACGCCTCGCGTCCCACTGCGATATCGCAGCGGCCGAGGCGGTATTAAAAGATGTCGACGTGACTGCGACCGTGATCAAAGCGCATTGTCTCATCAACTTAGAACCACCCCCTCTCAACGAGCTTCAAATGTCCACACATGAAGAAAAAAAACAAAAAAATAAAAATCAAAAATCAAATCGCAGACTCATGAAGAGCAACGTATGTGTTTGTGTGTGCGTGTATGCACCCATGCATGGAAAATCAACAATACACAACAAACGGAAAAAAAGGAATTAATACCAGCATAAAGAAACAAAAGGATATATATATATATATATATATATGTGGACACACGCAAAGACACAGAGTTGGCGAAATCCATGTATAGAAGTCGCTTAAAGTGTTCTCACAAATAAAATCAGAGCAAATTCATAATTTTGACTCGTGATCAAGCCGGTATGCCATAGTCACTACCAAGACAACCGCCATTGTTGACATCGCGGCCAGACTGTGGGGGAAGTGATAGGGAATGCAGACCGGCATGAATAAAAAGGTCACACGTATCTAAAAAAGACTACTCGCAACGCTTCTTGCCATGGCAGAGCTCCCGTTGATAGAAAGTTGAAAACAATCCTTCCAGTATGACCTCTCAAAATACGATTCTGTATTAAAGTGATCGCGGTAGAGAAGAAAAAAACTGCGCTGCCCCACGCGTCCTCCAATTGTCTCCGTTGCTTTCTGCAATCCGCTGTTTGCCGCCTGGTACTGTGAAACCTGCTTCTCATAATGCTGACACATCTCACGGCACAATTCCAGATTCTCAACGCCGGGGTGGCAGACATTGAATGGGAAATCCCCTACAGTTGTAGGAGAGTTCTCTTTTTTCTCTTCAGATCCATGATCACTGGTGCTCTGCGAAACAGTGGAATCAGTACTAAAATTAAAGTCGCGATGCACGGGGAATCCAATGGGGATACCAACAAACCAAACGTTTTTCAATAGCCGAATATAACGAGGCTTTTTGCGTAAATACAAACTAATCGTTTTTTTAACATACGTATTGACGTCCAACAGAGTCGTTGGAACGGCTTCAGCCTTCTTATTTATCCATGCCGTCTGTGTACCCGGCACAACAGCTATCACAATAACAAGGTGGGCATTTAAACACGACCCTCGGTTGGACTCCAACTCTGTACTTCGTCGCAAAAGAAGCTGACCAAAGACACGTTGTAGATTTGGAAGGTGCTTTTGGAGGGCAAAGCGGTCGTTTTTAAAGGGAATGATGGATTCCGTGCCCCTAAGTAATGATGATGATGACGAGGAGACCAACAAATTGTCAAAGCTGTAGGATATGTTCAGTGAACTTGTATTCTTTGTACACTTCCCTAGGACGGGTGAGTCGAGTCCAATTGAACGACGCAACGGCGCAAAAAGCCTGGCGCCAAATATGCCGTCTGTTGTATTTGATGTGATAAAACTTCCTGTCCTATTTCTTAGTGCAGACACCACAAGTGGTGCAATGGGAACGCGATACAAGTAGCGATCCTTGCGCCGAATGCTCTTCATCGCCGGGACAGACGTGAGAGAGGGGCCCACCTCCACCATGTGCACGAGGAGAAGGGAGTTGTTGTGTGCTGTGCAGTCGCACCGTGCCGTGTCGTCCCCTGGAGTGGGAGGCAGCACCATGTCGTCGCACCAAAACGCGTTCGCGTCTCGCTCGCACATCGCAGATGACCCTCCAATGCAAAAAAACGCGTTTCCGTTTTTACACTTTAATCCGTCCGAGAGAAGACAAATAAGAAACATCGCAATCATGAAGACAATCTCCAACCGTCTCGTCAGCCATGGCGCCTCGTTCACCACCATTCAGACACGCCCTCAGCCAAAACGGCGTCTGCAAACTGCAGCCACAAAAACGGTGACGGGAAGAAAGTTTTTTTTTTTTTTTTTTTTTTATGTGTGTTTTTGTGCAAACAAACAAACAAACAAAATAAAAAAAAATAAAAAAATAAAAAAACCTAAAACCGGTGGCGGCAACAGAAAACCAAATCCAACAGCGCCCCAACCCTCCACCCAGCAGGCCTAATAATTTAAAAAAAAAAAAAAAAACACACGCAAAAAAAAAAAACGAAAGGAAAAAAACTTTGTAAACAATAAAACAAAAACTACGGTCAAAACTAACGTACACAACTGAAATGCGGGTACATGTGAGTGCATACACGACGCACAAGCAAAAGAAAGGAAAAAAAAAAAAGAAGAAAGAAGAAGAAAAAGATGTCCGTGTCACAAATACACAAAAACAGAAAAAAAGGAAAAAAAAGGGAGAAAGAAAAGGCTGATCATATTACAAAGTCATCCATCATGAGTCCTAGTTGTTATCACCACCATGAGCCATCAATAAATACCCCCTCCGCTCTGTCCTTATTTCCTTCCTTTCTCCTACGCATTCTACTCCCTTATTTCCCGTTCATATTCGCCATAATTCTAAAATTTTAATTCCCTCATTCTACTCTGTACTTTTCTTTGCTACATCAACCACCCTCAAGACAGCCTACGAGAAGAGCATCAGGAAGGCAAGCATGAGTGCGAAGAGACCGATAGCTTCCGTCAGGGCAAATCCAAGAATGGCGTAGTTAAACAACATCTTCGTCAGGTTTGGCTGACGTGCGCAGGCCACCAACAGGTTGCCGAAGATGGTGCCAATGCCAAGGCCGACACCCGCGAGTGCGATGGCGGCAAGTCCCGTGCCAACGTAATGCAGGCCCTGCACGGAAATGGCGACGGTCGACGCCCTACGCACCACCAGTGAGGTGGACAAGGGGACCGCAGCGGCCACACGGCGAGCGGCAGGAGGAGTAATCATCAAACGGCGCATCATCATTCTTTTTTTTTTTTCTTCTTCTTTTTTTGATGTTTTTTTGCTTGTTTTTGTTTTCCTTCTTAACAATTTAAAGCCAAACGGAGTTAACCGAGAGTCACCACAAAGCTTCTTACAAAAAGAGAGAGGAAAAGAAAGAAGGCGAGTAGAAGCAGCACATATCCATCACAGTTAAGCATGGGAGAGTACCTTTTCCCTCCCCCTCTCACCAACACTTCTCCCACTGAGACCACACATATAAGCAATGAGATATACAGACACACACGCACACGTGAACATTAATATATTAATATATATATATATATATTAATGTCAAAAAAAGGTTTAATATAAACAAACAAACAAAAAAAAAAAAAAACTCCTATTTTTTTTTTTTTTTAATGGCAAACACATGTCATACGCACACAAACTAAGAAGAAAAAATCCCAATCACTGTTGACAAGGTACTCCCGTTAAAGCCCGCAGAAAAACACACATACACACACAGACAGACACACACACAAATTTTTAAAAAAAGAAAAAAAAGAATAGGCAATCTATCTGTACGTGTGCATGTGTGTGTAATGGGTATTTTTTTTTTTTTTTTCCCCTTAAGAATTAAATACGGGAGCAAAAAGAAGAGAGGATATGATTCTTACTTCTCAACTATCACGGTAACGGTAAAACCTCATCACAAAAGATCCTCATCGGCTGTGACATTTTCCAACAGATCATCAACAGCAATAGCAGCACCTGCAGGGGGTGCAGGAAGGTTAATCAAGGGGTCGTCAAGAATATTTCCTCCCTGCCCCGCAGCAGCGGCGTTCGGTGAAAGCACCACCCTCTTTTCACGCTCATTGATAAACTTTTCCTTCTCAAGGTTCTGTGCGCTGATCAGATCATTCTGCACCTGCAATTTCCCATTGATCGTAGCAAGGAACTTCTCTAGGCGGTACAGAGTCTCTAACTCCCGCTCCAATTCCACAAAAGATGCTTCAATCTGTGAGACAATACTCCTTCTCTTCTCATCCGTGATACTTGCCCATGCGGCATGCAGCTCCTTCTTGTATGCAGCGACGCTTTCTACTACTGCATGCTTTTCCTTCTGCTGGGCACTGCGACGAAGTGCGACGGTGCCCTCTTGTTTCTTGTTCAGCTTTGCCTTCATCTCCGCCACGCCCTTCTCCACCAGCGCCTCCTTGTTGCCACTGAGGGCTGTCAACTTCTCCTGCAATTCCTTGACGGTGTCAAGGACCCGCTCGCACTCATCGTGCTTTTGAGACATCTGCTTATGCAGCCGCACCTGCTTTTCCTCCAACTTCGCCTTGCGCTGTCGAATGGACTTCTCATCGATGCCTTGCTTCCTGAGATCCTCAACTTCATTCTCGTGGGTGGTAATTTGAGCCTTTGTCGCCTCCAACCGCGAAAGCAACTCCATAATATGCGACCGAGCTGAGCAAATGAAGGCTTCAAAATGGAAGCGCTGGCGGTTAATTTCCGCCACCTCACGCGGGGTGTAATACCCCTCCCGACGTACTTCGTTGCAAAAGAACTCAATCTCCTTATCGGATGGAATTTCCTTCACACTGAAGGGTGTCCCACGCTGCGCCTGTAACAACGTGGCAAGCACGTGGGTACAATTCTGGAAGGAGTTGGCGTTAGCAAAGCTGATGTGGCAGTCAATTTCGGTCGGAATCTTCAGCAAAAGATGATATTCGGCTGAATTAAACGATAAAATCTTCTTGTCCTTTGTTTTCTTCTGGTACATAGCTGTAATGAGTTCATAGGGGCTGGCCCGCTCCATTGTACCGGCAAAATCAAGCACAAAGAACGCCGTGGGAGTGAGGGCAAAAATGCGTCTTTCACTTCGTGCCCCATTCTTTTCATAGAAGGTGCAGTGATCAACAAAGTACATCTGATTGCCCTTCAGTCGACGAAAGTCGTGATGCATTTTGTTTTCGTCCACAAAGGAGAGGCCTTCCAAAGCGGTGGCTGTCCTCATTCCAGAGCCCGTGGAATCGGACCCTTGTGGTTCCGCCTTCTCACTCATGTCTTCTTTTTCTACGGCTCCCTTTTGACCCCTTATAATTATTTCCTTCCACTCCTCCTTTTTCAGTACAGCCCGTTTGGGTAAATGTCAACAAATGGGTAAAAAAAAAAAAAAAAAAAACAAGAGCACACCAATATATCGATATGTGTGCACATTTCCACTATTTCACACACAAGCGAACAAATCCAAGGCCATCACCACCAACACGCAAACACAAAAAACAACAAAAGAAATAATATATAAATACATAAGAAAAAAAAACTCAATATGAAGGAAGAAATGGACGGTTTAGGTTAACTCCAAAAAGAGTGAAAAGTCGCACCATGTGCGGTGACCCCTGCGGTTCACCTTCATCCCCAACCAACTCTAGGAGCATCTCTGCCGAATCACGCTCGGTCTCAGGCATGTCGTCTTCCCGGCCCTCATGCTGCAGTGACATTGAGGTTCCCTCTAAAGCGTGTTGCACCATCGTCAAGTCATCGGCAGCCAAAAGCGGTCGCAGTCGTTCTGTTAGTAGCAGGCGCAGCAGGGCCTTCAATTCCTCCGTCACCAAATTACTTGGTGACACATCGAGCAGCAGCACAATACGCTCAGAAAAAGACTCCGCATTGGGGTAACGCCCAATGTCCTGCACAAGGGCGTCAAGAACAGCAGCCTCCCCGTATGGTGGCAAGCACCAGGTGACAAGCAGCGCCAAATGTATGCAGTACTTATTTAACTGCACAGACTCCTCGGAAAGAAGAAGCTCAATCGTAGAATCCAGCAAATGGCACTGCAATGCTGTGTTGCCCCGTCTCACCATCACCGCCAGCAGTGCAAAAACTGCCGTAAGAAGTTCATTGCATTGGTCCCGTACCAGCAATTCCAGCGCATGATCTACCAGCTCGGCAGAAACAAACTCCAAAATATCCGGGCAAAGCAGCAGCAGACGAGATGCACAGCGCAATACCATAGGCAGAACCGCAACGTCACGCTTCATGTTTTCAAAGCACCACGCAAGAGCATCACGCGTGACCGGATTCCATGCATGGACCGCACTACACATTTCCAAGAGTAATTCCCACGCGTTATCCTCCACCACGAGCGCCAATTGACCGCCAGGAAGAGTGCAAGGAACAACGACATCAGGAAACAAAGTCCATACACGATGTTCCGTCGCTGGGGTGGAGAGTTTTGTGCATGCAGCGGCGCATTGGAGCAAGACCATCAAGGAACCCAAATCCACTTCCGAGTCGTCTTCGTCGTCGTCGTCGTCGTCATCTTTCTTATCTGCCTTCATAATGGCGTTGGCTTCATTTGTAAATCGATACACGGCAGGAAGTACCACATCCAAAAGAACCTCACCATTAGAGGAATTAAAAACTTCACGTGAAACTAATCCTTGCACAAGTTCTGCTGAAATATTCGCTCCAGAAGAAGTACGCATCTGCGGAAGAAGATGTTGAATTGTCAATAACAAGTTGTGCACGTAGTCCACTGGAAGCTCCTCAGGCTTAAAGTTTGAATCATTAATAAATTGAATAATAGTGGACAGCAAGTTCAATAACACTGCGGTGGAGGTTGAAGAAACCAATAAAGACCCAAACGCAACATGAACCTGGCGTCGTAGAAAAGTATCTTGCACCGATCCACACCACATACCTATCATCCAAACTACACGTCGTATTATAAATGGCGAAGTGGGGGAAACAACTTCACCACGAATAAGGGGAAGAAGTTTCTCTGTCAAAAAGGTAACATAACCCGCCGGATCCGCATCAACGGACATGGTGTAGTAACATACTCCAATAGCATGCAATGCTGCTGTAATACGGGCAAGATCATTACTTGCCAAAAAGGCATTCACAACTTGCCACTCCACCTCAAGACATCGTGCAGCATAGTCCCTTGACTCTGTCAGGGAAAGCAGCAACTCCTCTGCGCCGAACTCCACACAGTCGTCAGCGCCCACAAATTCAGTTAAACCCAAAACAAACCGCTCTGGGTTTGCTTCCCACTCCCGAAGCGTGGACTCTTGCACGTCATCTGCGAGCAGCAAAGTCACCCGCTCCAAAAGACGATGCAACAGCGGGGAATCCACGAGTGCTTTCAACTGCTCTTTTACAAAGGGTACGGCTTCCTCATTCATTGCGCTTTTTTTAAAGATATCCATGGATCGTAATACCATCTTTTCCGATGCGGTATATTCCAGCGGGGTCCCAATAATGGCAACAAGAAGGCCAAAGAGAGATACAGTATCATCCACACTACTTGTTCGTGGCAAGAAAAATTCCGGCGAAAGTTCACTCAGACTTGAAGAAAAAGTTTCCACCGCCTTCAGGTGGACCTTCAGAGCGTACTCCAACAAACGTTGGCGGCACTGCAGTAATTGATGATCCTGTTGTTGATGCTGCTCCGGTGTCATTACGGCACGTGTGAGTTCCCACGTTATTTTAAGAAAATACGTGTGGAAGTCTCGTTCAAACACGCCATAACCAAAAATACGCAAAGCACACTTCATAAGGTACAACAGGGGCATGTAAAATTCGCCGTGATCCCACGATGCGCTGGCGGCAAAAAGCTTGGACATGGCAGGGACAAGAAGAGTACACAATTTTGAAAAAACACCGCAGAAACGCTTCCTCCGCAATTCCTTCAGGAAAACATGCAAAGTTAAAAGACATTGTGTTAAAAATCCCGTTGAGGCAGCCGTCACAAAAGATGCAGCCCAAACGGAAGCATCGGACAGTAACCCCACGATGCGCTCCGTTGGTGACGTCAATGCGCCCGGCATAACTTTTTCTTTGCTACGCGTAGTCATAATGCTTAGGAACGTAGCCACTTTCCGAGCTAGCGACAAGGTGGGAAAAGTTTCGCTAAGCACAAGCTGAGTATAGCGGTCAATCGTAAGCTGCTGCAGCCCTTTTGGAACACCATTACGCCACGATTGCTCAACAAACTCCAGCACCGTTGAGGCAAGAAAGAAACGTTCTTCTGTTGCCAACGTCGGGGAGGCGATACCATTCCATGTGAAGGAGAGAAACTCCTCTGGACTGTCTTCCTGCAGCTGTCGCAGTTTCGATGCTGCTTTCTTGCGCTCTTGACTGTCGGTGGATGTACGAATAGTCCACAACAGAATGTCCATTTAACACGATTCCCTCTTGTACACGCACACATACAAACATACACCATCGTACAGGGAGAACAAACAAACAAACAAAAAAAAAAAAGGCATTCCAAGCAAACCGCTCCAGCAGCAGAAGCAGCAAAAAGAAATGCACGGAATTTACAAGAAGTAGACGGCAACAATCAAAAAAATAAAATAAAATAAAATTTATTCAACTCAAAAAAGCAAAATTATTTTCGGTGTTTGTGCGATTCTCTCCTGTTCCTTTTCCTGTCCTATCACTTTCACACAAAATTACCAATCGCCTCATCAATCTGTCGTGTGAGTCGCAGCATCATGTCTTGTGACTGCACGTCGAGGGGTTGGAACCCCACCAAACCGTACCCGTCCACCACGTCCATCACCGCCTTGCTGTAGTGATACAAACGCCCACCGTCACGCTCCAAATCAATGGCTTCCACATCCGTATCGTCCTTTTCCATTAATTTCGAATCAACACGAGACGCGTCAGTCGAACCGGTAGGGTACATCTGCGCCCGGCGGTGCTCACGTCGCCGCCTTCGCAGCTGTTTCTTCCATAAGCGGTCAAAATCCTCCGCCATGAAATGCGAAGCACGCAAAAAAGTCTCCCCCTCTTCCGCCTCCTCAGCGGAAAGAGTGTCCCACTTACTCATCACATTCACGTGCGGGAGTTCATGATCAATCATCGTAGTGATGCTCAGCAAACAACTTGACACATATGTCGCCACGTCACGCGTGGATACGGCAGCGTCAACGAGATGCACCGTACAAAAGGAACACGACAACTGCTTCGTCAGCACCCTAAAAAGAGCGTGCATGACATACGACCCCAAGTAAAACTCCACCTGTCCAGGGCAGTCCACAATAAGATACGGGGCACGCGTCGAAAGCAACCCACTTGATGTCGCTATTGGCGCCGCTGTGGAAACAACATCTCGCAGTCGCCTCTCCACCGCCTCCTCGATCTTGCGAGTAATCCATTCCATGTTGCGCTCCATCACAGACGCACAAAACACATAGCTGCCATTCGGGCCCAGGCCTTCCTCCTCCATGACACGCGCATGTGAGACAATCTCCCGTACGTCAACATCGCAAGGGTACGGGAACACATCTTCGTTGGCAGGATCCAAATTCAGCAGAACGACGGGTCGTGTTGGGTCATACACACTGAGAAACTGCCGTTTCCCCTCGCAGTACGTCGTCTTCCCGCTGCCAGGAGGGCCACACACCAGCTCTCCAAACATCAATGACGCTTTGCAACACGCGTCGTCTATGTATTCTTTTCTTTTTTCTTTTCCAGGCAACAAAAGCAGGATAAAAAAACAAGAGCAAAGCGCAAAATCAATCAATGAGAAAGCAGAGGCGCCAAACAAACAGCGCAGCCAAACAAAAAAAAAAATTTTAATATAATAAAAAAAAAGCAAAAATAAAAAAGGGAGGGGAGTATGCAAGGAGAAGCAAAGAACCACCCAAGCTGCCAACAAAGACTTTGCGTTAAACGGCAGAAGCAATTGTGAATTCAAAAAGAGAAAAAATAAATAAATAAAAATTTTTTCTTTCCAGTTTTTCTTTTTTGCATTCAGGCGATTCCTCCCTCTGAGTTCTCTTGCCGCCGCTGACATGACACGTGGAAGTGGGAGAAAAGAAGAAAAAGGCCGCTTAATACGTTTTCATTCAAACAGTGGCACACACACACACACACACACACACGCAACTACGCATGTATGCATAAACGGATAAACATGCAATTCCAGGTTTTATCGCCCTCTCCTCTTCCGCAGACAGTCGAAATGCCAAAAGTACGCTTAGGATCCTCAACCTCCGCTCTGCTCCTCCATAAACTCCTCGTTATCCTTTTTTTTTTTTTTTACTGTCGTTGTTGTTGTTGCTCTTTTTCCTTTTTCCACACGCCTCCGTGCTTCATCAGCGGCCCATGGGATCGCCAATGTAAAGCAGCGTCCCCTCCTCCCAGAGATGTTGAGGCAAATCCACTGATTCATTTGTTTGGCACTTCTTCTCCCGCTGCTTCCACAGCGTCGCTTGGCCACCCACGAGAGTAATGGAGCGGTGAAACGCTTGCAACACGGCCCTCTCCACGCAGCTAACATCGGAAGTAAATTCTAACAGTCTAGAAAAAAGCGTGTACGCCTCGCGAAATTTATGTACAACCTGAGAACCAAAAAGTGTTGCCGCCACGGCACAGTTAGCAGCGGGGTTCAATGGATTCATGATGCACAACTCTGATGTTGCCGCCTTTTCAAAGGTCCGTTTATTGGCATAGTCGATGCCTGTGCATTTGTAGTCAAACTGCATACTGTAGTACTTGAGAAATCCGACAAGACATATTGCATAGCTCCTGCTAAACTCCGGTGGATATTGCTGAGCTACCTCAGCATAGAGGAACCACAGGACCATGATTGATATGGGAAATGATCCCAGGCCGCCAACACTCGGGTCGTCAAGGGACCAATTTGCCACAAGCGCCTTCACTAAAATAATAATGCCGCGCGCAAGAAAAAACGGTTCTTTTTTAAATTCCTCGCAAAGAAAATGGGAGGATAACACACCGTCCCTTAAAAAAGAAACATCCACCTTCTTCCCACCGCGATGGACCGCCTTTACAATAGGCACTTTGGCATGGGCAATGTGTTGAATGCCGCGGAAGGCTGAAGATAAACGCAACTTATTACCAACAGCACGCAGAGCTCCTGAATAAAGTCTCCGACGCTCGCCTCTCGTCATATTGGAAGCAGTGAGATGCTCCGATAGCACGCGTTCCAGCTTGGAGCTCATGTTGTGCTTGCTGCCCCTATTCCGATCAATTCCACTAGAATCACCGTTTGGAAACATTTCGGCACATTTTTGCACGGCAACAAAATCCATATCGCTGCTCGGAATACAAAGACCGGTACACCAACTTCCAAACATTTCCACGTACAAATCCAAACTCGAAAGAGTCGCATTCATATCATAAAACACCTGTCGCGCGTACTCCCGTTCATTGGGAGTTGGAGAAATAGCTCTCAAAACTGCCTGTAATGACAATTCCAGAGGAAGACTATTGCTTGTCTCCAAGGAATCATGCGTCGATTGCAGAGGCATAAGCGATCTCTCATGTAAATTGTCGCATTCCGCGTTGGAAACAGGCGCTGCCATTTCCATTCTCGTGTTCTTTTTCGCTCTTTTCGAGTTCCTCCCGCTACTACAAAATCCCGAAAAGGAGGCTGAATGGGTATTCGTCGCCTTTTTCGCTCTTGTTTTAGGCATCGGCTCTTGAAAAGGAACTTTTTGGCCACGCTGTGCCTTCCTGGAACGTGACATTCTGTTTTTTTTTTTTTTTTTTGTTTGTTTGTTTCTTTTTTTCAATTATATAAAAGAAAAAAAAAAGCATTCCAAATAAATGTTTATCCCACGAGAAAAATAAAACTTACATCATAACACACTGAAAGAGACAAAAAAAAAGACAGATGTATGCATGTACGTACAATTATCTACAAGACGGAAATTATAAAAGAGAAAAAAAAAAGAAAAAACACACATATGGCCTTGACACCCATAATTTCTCTACGGCTTGTAAGAACCACCATCATTTACATCCTGTTGGTTTTTTTTTCTCTTTTTTTTTTTTCTTGGATCCCTCCAAAACCAGCGGTGGTCACCACCACAAGAGCACACATCGCTGTTTGGTCTTTAATTCACCAACTGTTCTGGCTGGAGGAGGGATGCCTGCTGGTTCAGCAAACGGTTTCTGGAAATGCGTTCACCTAACAATGTATCAATCTTCTTTTGAACAATGCGGTTAATGTTATTTCCATGCAACAACAATGAAGATATACGAGCGTTGAGTTGTGTTGCGTCAATCAAATTGCTTGCCCCCCACTCGCCAATCTCATTTGCGGAGAGGTCAACTATCGAGATGGAAATACTGTTCACAATGCTCCTTGAAAGAACAACCGCCGCCTCGTTATCAAGTTGATTGCCGCTTAAATTCACCTCATTGAGAGTGATGGTGGCGGCAATAAGACTGGCAATGCGCATCCCGCCAGTGGGGCCGAGTTCGCAAGAACTGAGATCAAGCCGAGTCAAAGCCCCGCCCTGATGCATAATGAGTGTCTTGGCAATCTCATCCGCACCAACGCTTCCTATCGGGTTAGCCGAAAGGGAGAGTGAAACTAGAAAAACGTTATTTGCCAGCCCATCACGCGCAAGAATACGTACACCTGTCGCCGTCAGTGTGTTAGAGCGCAGATCCAACGTCTCAAGTGTAGAGTTTTCCCGCAACATTTCGGCGAGAGCTTCTGCAGCCGCATCCGTGGCGTTATTGTTGCCAAGTGTTAAATCCTTCAGGCACCTGTTCCCCTTTACGGCATCGGCAATGAGCCCAACACCAGCCACACCGAGATGGTTCCCATACAGTTGTAGCGTTTTCAACGGCGAGGCGGGGAGTGCAAGAAGATGCGCAATGCTCTCGGCACCACTTGGGCCAATCTCGTTCAGTGACAGATCAAGTGATTTCAGATACACATTCTTTTCAAGGGCTCGAAACAGCAATGCGGCACCTTCATGTCCAATCTTATTTGCGCTCAATCCCAGTCGTGTAAGGGCGGTAGACATGGAAATGGACTTCAGCAGTTTACGCACACAGGCGGCAGTGAGGCCGTTTCCGCGAATATCCAGCAATTGAAGCTTCGTGGAGACATTCACCACATTTGCCAGGGCATCACATCCCTCTTTTCCAATGTCATTGTACCGCAGCAACACATCCCGTACCGTGGAGGACTCAAGCATGGACGCGATCTTTTGTGTCTGCTCCGGGCCAAGCTGGTTGTCAATGAGGTCAACGACACGTACGGGGACATCTGCATCCCGATCAACGATGGTGCGGCAAATCCCTTCGCAGAGCTCTGGTGTAATGCGGGTCCACGCCATTTCAATCTTCAGCTCCTCCGCGTCGTCCGCCCCCGTCCAGGCACGGCCCAAAAGGGCCCTACCATTCGTGCTTTCTTTGCTCGTCAGTGTGTTTGTCGTGTGCTGTGTCATCGTCTGCCCAACAGTCAGTGGCACAAATCCCTGTTGACTGCAAAGAGCACACACACACACACAGAGAGAGAGGGAAAAAAAAAGGAAAAAAAAAAAAAAAAATGAAGCGTGCAGTCAGACGAAGCAGGAATTTAAAACATAAAAAAAAATTATATACAAACTTGCCCCACGCCCCCACAGTTTGTTTCTTCTTGTCCTTTTTTCCCCCCCTTTTTTCCCACGTCCTCCGCCAAAGCCACGACCGACGCATCGCCAAAATAAACAGCAACAACAACAATAATAATAAAAAAGAAAAAGCACAAAGAGAAAAGAAACATGCACACAAACGGGTTTATTTATATGTATATATTACACGTATACGTGTGATTTGGGTCTGTGTACACAACTTCCACAAATTCCCCCGCCATTTCCCTCCAGTAACTTTTTCTTTTTTTTTGTTTTTGTTTTTGTTGTTTCAACAAAATGACATCCACACGCCCACAGATGTCCCTGTTGAGGTTTCGTTCATTTACGGCATAGCTCGCGGCGGTGAGAGGCTGGACGGCTGCAAATGTTTCCAAAGCATTTCGAGTACAAAATCAAATTGGTTTAAAATAACTTACATCCACACACGTCAATGTCTGCACATGTACTTTAAACCCAACACTGCAGAAAACAACAACAATAACTAAAAAAAAAAAAAAAACGCACAGAAATACACCGCCCTTTTCTTTTTCTTTCCCCCCCCTCCCCCCTCCCTCCAGCAACACGTATTAATCGTGTTCACATTCATATCTCCCCTTTTTGTTTCCCCAAATTATATACGTGTAACGTGCATGCATGCATACATACATATACAGAACAGTGATGTACGGGACACTTGTGTGTCCGTGTGGAAGTAGTAAAATACACGTGGTTCTGTATGAGCAGGAAACAAAAAAAAAAAAAGTAATGATAATCACGACACAACTCCCTCGGAATATGTTTTTTTGTTGTTGTTGTTGTTGGTTTACTTCTCCTCTCTGCCTGCTTGCTTCGGTATTCCATCGTCCCCCTCCTCTTTAAAAACAGAAAAAAAAAAAAAAAACGTCCAATTATTTATTTAAGCATAAATACACGCATTGTACATCGCAATAATAATAATTATTATATATATATATAAACCAATGCAGGAGCAGCAAAAGCAGCAGCAAAATAACATTAGAAGAAAAAAAAAAAGGGAAACAATTTTTGATGTTTTATTTTCTTCCCTTCAGCCACACGCAGGCACATACAACTATTCATCTCCTTTAGGGCGGCGCGCCCTCCCTTTCATTTTTGGTCATTGCATCTTTCAGCATCGAGTGTAATGCACCACGCTTGGTGATGTCAATTACCGTGCCTTTTTTCGGGTGCTTGTGCTTGAAGCTTTCTGCCGTCATATCGGAGGGTAACTCGCAGAACCAACGCACAACGTCATCGTGATTGTGCATCACGGCCTGCATGAGGGCGTTTGTCCCATCACTCTGAACACGATTCAGGTTCGCTACGAGACCCAGGGACCTGAGGGACTCAACAAGTCCTAAATTCCCAACAGCGCATGCGTTTGAAAATATCGTTTGCC